GCCAATGACAGCACGCAAACATACAATGGTCAGGCCTGCTGAGTTTACACCTGTACCCTGTACTGTACAGTACCGTACTATACAATACAGTACAACACAATCGAGTACTGTACTGGATTGTTAGGCGTGGTCGGCCTTAAAGCTTTTTCAACGGGTTCTTGCTATGGCGACCAATCTTCAGCCATTGGTTTCTTTCCACTCACATTGATCAGAATAATCTTTAATGGAAAGGGTGTTTCACTGACTATTTTGCCAATTATACTCTTGAACTATGAACCGTGGTACTAGATACACAGTATCAAAATAGAATAAAATGACTAAATAAATAAACCATTGATCCAATGAATTGGTTGGAGTTTGAAGAAAGTTTCTCTACTGGGCCTATATAAACATGATTTGAAATTGTTCCTTCCAGAACGAATTCGTTTACGAGTACAATATAACAGTTAGAGCTGTATAAAATAACCGTTAAATCATCGATGTACAGGACATATGAGCACATATACACTTGCACAGTATCTAACATGCAAAAGTCTGAATCTTCAACTGACAGAAAGTTGAATCATGGGCCAAGATAAACAAATGTAGTTTATGAAATCGCTGCTAGAGAACGAATTTAAAAGTACAGTACTGTACAGTGTAGAATAGAATGCCCGGATCCTTACACGGACCTTGGCATAGATTTAAATCTTACCGGTACTGGCCGGCCATTACTGGTCAGGTCTGATTGCCGGTATTGGCCATGACATAGATATTAATAGAGATACAGTACCTCTGTTTACCAATGGAACTAAGCAATTATGAATTCATTGGGGTTACGATAATAAGATACAAGCACTAGAGTTTAATTATTATTATAGTATACGCGTAGATATTAATACACCGTAGATACACTGTTTCTACTTACGAGTCTATCTCCGTAACTTTAAATTCTTAGGGGTTACGACAACAAGACACAAGCGATACGTTTTGATTATGTTATAGCATTAAAATAAAATAATGTTAGTATAGATAGATATTAATATAGATACTGTACAGTATTTCTCTTCATCAGTCTATATCCGCAATTTTGCATTCTTAGGTGTTACAATAACAAGATACAGGTGCTATGCTTTGATTATGATTGTAGTATAGATATAAAGATAGATACAGTATCTCTGTTCAGTAGTCTATCCGAAATTTTGCATTCTTAGGGTTTACGATAATAAGATACAACTTCTATGCTTTGATTATTACTGTAGTATAGATATTAATATAGATACAGTATCTCTATTCATCGGTCTATCTCCGCAATTTTGCATTCTTAGCATCTCTGTTCAGTAGTCTATCACCGTAAGTTTGCATTCTTAGGGTTTACGATAACAAGATGCAACTGTTATGCTTTGATTATGATTGTAGTACTGTATAGATATTAAGATAGATACAGCATCTCTGTTCAGTGGTCTATCACCGCAAGTTTGCATTCTTAGGGTTTACGATAACAAGATATAAGTGCTATGTTTTTGATTATTGTAGTATAGATATTAATATAGATACAGTTTCTCTATTCAGTAGTCTATCTCCGCAAGTTTGCATTCTTGGGGCTTGCGATAACAAGATTCAAGCGCTATGTTTTGACTATTACTAGTGCATGCAGTCTGCACAAAGTGATTTATACCAAGGGCTACTAAAGTACTGTGCAGTATGAAATAGAAAGGCTATGTTAGGATTATGGGGAAGATCCATAATGGATAAGACTTTCAAATACTACGGCATAATCAGCCGTCGAGGGTATAAAAGCCTGGAGTTTATAAGGAGTGAACGTTGGGGAAGGGTTGGAGATTGTAGTACTGTATATATATATTCAGTGGATATTAATATAACTCAATTTTGAATACTTAGGGCTTACGACAACGAGATGCAAGCGCTCGGCTTTGATTAGAATTAATTGTTGTAGAGTACAGTCGATATTAATATAGATTCAGTATCTCTGTTTACCAGTCAAGATTATTATATAGTATTATGAGTTATTATGATTTTGGCGACAACACAAAGGCCATAAGATGTAGTTCTAAAAGGTAGTCAGCAACAGTATTCATTAGATATCAGTAGCCGTTGTAATGCTTAACTTCACTAATATCATACATTCGTTGTAGTCATCCAATATATGAGCGACGATGTATGCAACCATTTATTATGCTGTTTACGTGCATGGCCTAGTATCTTTTCTTTTCTGTAGTAGACATCATTGAATTTTTGATCGATAAACAATCTTTTCGGCGTTAAACAGTGATGAACTCGTGTAAATAGTACGTTTATGCCATCATGAATTTATATGCCATTGCAGTCAGTAAGTATGATGAATCAACTTCATCATGATCCAGAGATTCCATATAGTTACAAGAAGGTGGTATTTATATAGCTTTACAAGTATATCGGCAATGACATCGCTTGGACATGCTGTAAGTAGCGACAAAACATTTCACTGCATTACTATATGCTTATAGAATTTCGTTATCCTACACAATAAATCAGTAATGTACTGTATATAAATCTGATCTATTACTATATGCACAGCTATGCATACACTAGCAGTGAAATATTCGAGAGGCTACGATTAACTGACCGTATCCCCAAAAGAATCGCATATAAGGCCATTGAAATATTCAGGCCTGATTACATTCCATAGTAGCCCAAAGTGACATTGAGCAGATATAATATACGCGTATACGGTACAGTATATCGTTATCATTTTAAAATTTATATAACTAAACCTGAATAAATAATATTGAATCATATTTATAATAAATTAACATACAATAACTGATGCTATAAATACTAATCTCTACAAAGTAATTTTACTTTGTATAAATAAATAAAATGTAGTTATATGTGTAGTGAACAACTATTAATTTTCTCATGTCATAGTATAACAGGAAAGAAATTTAACCCTCTAGAGCTATCTATTAATTTTAATCCCTATGACCGAATGTGTAAAGGGTTAGACGCAATAATTTCACTTATTTTAAAACGACAATATTGGATATGTTGCCGAAAATGAGATATCTTTTTACTACGTTTAATTTATATACCTGTAATCAGCATATAAAGACACATTATCCGTGATATCTTCATCATTTTAATTTATCCCCATATCTGGTATTACATCGACCCAATAATCAGTCTATTTTTACCATCATACGTACGAGGGTTCAGGAACATACTGTCCTCTAATCTATCAATTACTCGATAAAGGTAGCCATATGCTCAAGTTGACGTCATAAAATGACCAGACCATTACCATGATATTATCTGATCTGATAATCGCTACTATAGTAAATGAAAATAGAATCTGAATTCTCAGCATAGTCGCAGTGCTATACATTTACAAATGATTAACAGATTAAATAAAGCTAACTATAGAAATACAACGAAATAATACAAATTGAAATATAGCGAATTGTCCTAATTTATTTTTCCATAGACGATATCTAAATTGCGGATCTATCAAGATTTAGGTAAGTGTTAATATGTATAAATTGATCGTTACTAGCTAGCATTTTATGATAAAATGTGCCTAGTTCTTAATCAAGATGGCGCTTTGATGATTGGAGAATGAAAGAACTTTAGAGCTAATAACAATTAGTTCTAATGGAACGGTAACATCTGCATTATCAAGCCTAAATCATCTAAAATTGTCTTCAAAACACATTTAATTATTGCAAATGTATCTTCGCATTTCTTTGAAATCTAATCATTTAATCTATCATAAATCATAAAGGAGTATACATCAACTTCTGTAAAATAGTATGAATTTATAATATGGTATATGGTGAAAAGGCCTTGCAATCTAATAAGAAAATAGAATATGCCAATATACCTTATAAAAGTTGATTTGTATAGTAAATTATATACTAAGTAGACAAGGAATAAATTTCATTTCTGTGATATTATCCATTTTTATAGTATATATCATTTTTCAACATCGTTATGACACTTAGAGTAGAGACTTTTCGAGTTAAAGGTAGGGCAAGAAATAACAAATCCACCATAACTACTCTATTCTCGATTTAGTTAACTTTGTTGCTAGATTTAGCAGTCTATACACTAGTTATTACAGTATAATCAAAGTCATATTATCCACGCAATAAATCAATAAAATGACCGCGATAATCCATTTAATCGTTTTTTATGGTCTCATGAACGTGTAAAAATCTCGTGAACGGGTCAACTACGAGCAATGTTGTCCAGCTATTTGTCTATTTTACTTGCAATTAAGGCGGTTTCAGTTTAATAGATTATGAAATAGTATAGAAGATCCAATAATTAATGCAATATTCTATCTATACGTATTTTATGTTGTCATGAATATTTTAAAAATCTCGTGAATAGATCTACTATAAGCAATATGGTTCAGCTATTTTTTATTTTACTTGCAATCAAGACGATATCAGTTTGATAAATTATAGAACAGTCTAGATGATTCAACTATTAATATGTTTAGCTTGTCCTTAACAATTAAACTTAGTGAATCAATCTATTACAGAAAATTCCGATTTTAATAGTTAAAGAAGACCTAAAGAATTAGAGATCAGATAGCTCTGTTTTGCTTTATTAGGCTAAAGCTATTATCGATTTAGTAGGTTAAAAATAATTTCGATAATCTATAAGCATTGTATACTTATCGCTAATGTAAAGGCAGCTATACTAGAATTTAATATCAAAATCAAGAAAGACGTTGAGAATTAATGTTCAAGTAACAATTCCCTTGTACTTTAAGTCTAATTTTAAGGATACAATAAAAGCTAAGCAGAGAACTTTATTTTTTTTTCCATCAACAGTGAAGTTCTACATTATTATAAATTAAGTTTCTCAATCTATCCTAGGCTATCAATTCCATTTAATCCGTCAAAATAGATTCGAAAAAGAAACAGCTTATGGTTATGGTAGCCATTTTGTGATACTTTACTAGAGTAGAGTGAATATAAAGGTATAGTACATCACTGCTGGTTCATCCGAAAATGTCTGAAGGAATAGTATCTACTCGTGAATTTATTCTGCTACAGGTAAAACACCTAATAATACGGCACCTATATAAAATGCAAAATATTTGAAGATCATAATAGCATTGGCTACTTGATCTAGCCATAAAATATTTGGATTATTCTATATGTAGCTAATTGATTTTTAAAAATTTAGAAAAATTTAAAAGAATTGAAATCCAAGAATGCTCAACTCCAGGATTCAAATAATTTTCTGGAGAAAGGTGATTCATGACTTAGCCTATATTATTTTAAATATTAATTATCGTTCGCTATTTTTGCTTTTTTTGCTGAATTTCATTAATATTCTTTATATCTTTACTTAGAAAAAAATGATATTTTTAAGACCATATTGCAACTTTTCATAATACTAGTTATTAATTACTGATTAATAGAAGCGAAAAATCTTCGAGATAAGCTAGATAAACAAAATTATGAATTAAATAAAGCAACAAAGGTTGGAACTAGAGTATTAATTAATTCAATGATAGTCACAAAGTCTTGGAGAGAAAGACATGAAATTTTTAAGAGATTTTTATTTGTTGTCTGTTCTAGCTGCTAGCTAAAAGCAAGAAGGCCAAGGTTCGTTTCAAAACAGATAAATTGATATTTAGATAGCTCTAGGAAAAATTCCATTGCAGCACGCTTTAGTCCATCATTTTTATTGAATTATATAATCAATGAATCACCCATACATATAGCCGTCTCATAAACTAAAAATTAACATGATTTACGCATTATAGGAATTGGCCGACATGGCTCAGGAATTAGAATTAACTAAACAACAAATGGAAGTAAGTGGAATATCTCATTAGATTATTCTACTTGTACAAGTAGATTGCAAAAGACGAGTAGAGATTGAAATTATTATGAAACTATTAGCAACTCCAGGAAGAAAGTAATGTGCAAACGCAAACCTTAAATGTTGAATTATCCAGGGTAATTTCATTTATATTAAATACATTATTTCTAAGTTATAAAGTAACGGGTAGATGGCATATTTAATAGCCTTAAGTTCGACTACTTCTACGTTCTAATAAATTTTATGCTATCGAACGTATATTCAGGAGAAATAATAACTGTATAGTAAAACGTTATAATTTCAACTTCTTTTGGTGTAGCTAGTGAAAGAAAACGAAGGATTTAGACGACAACTGGATAGCTATCAGGGAGATTTACAGGATTATGTAACTAAGCAACAATATCAGTCACTTATGGAAGAGAAACAAAAATTTGCTGAAAATTATGAATGTAATAATCTTTAACGTTAAAAAATTCAGAGAGTACAGCAACTAGAATATACACTACGCACTAGGGCCATAATTAATTGCTTATTTTCTGTTTGAATGCTTTGCTCAATTTACATTGTGCTTCTGATACAGTGATTTATACAAAGTTACAAAAGAGAGAAGAGGAGTTAAGGTAATATTCTATATAATATTAGACGTATAATACTTCTAGTGTTCTTTCAAATTGATTCATATACATATCTCTGTTTCGTACATTTTGTAAACTACTAGGGACCTTGTTACAGAATATGCTCAATTCAAAATGAGATATGATGGCGTCTCTAATGTCAGATGTACACCTGGATCCCCTCCAACAGTAACATCCGGCTATACTTTCGGCAGGTAGGATAGAACTTGCCCGGTATTCATACGTTTGAATTATCGCTTTATTATGTGGCTATATATGATGATCTAAATTTCATACAGATTTGCAATATATTCGTACTGTATTCATTATTTGAAAATTTTATATTTACAAAAGTGCCAATGAACTTTAATACATGATATTTAGTCCTAAAATATTAAGGCTCTGGCTTATTTCGATAGTGGTTGAGCATTATTTTAGTATATGCTGCACGATGTTATAGGTTGCGTAAATATTTCATTTAGAGACTTACAGCTGGATAGTTTTTACATGTACATGTTAACATACATAAAATGGATGTGGCACTATAAAGCTTATCATTATTTTAAGCGTCTTAGTCTTAATTATATCAAAATTAATAGTAGAAGGATATACAATGTAATATAAGTAGATAATTCGGAATTGCTGAACCCTAATCCTGTTTTTTATACTGATTTATTAGAAGAAATAGCATAGACGTAGAAGAAGATATCAGAACATTACTTTATCGATCTGTTGAGAAAGAAATTGGTATTCTAACTAAATTAGAGCCAACGGTTTTATTTCAAACAATTCGCAATTCCACCGAAGGAGAATTTGACTTTTTAGTTCAAGAGTTAAATCGATGTGTTCATAAAGCAATGCCTCATTTAAATAAATCTAGCGCATCTTCGTCTCCAGCTGTCGTTAAAGATGTTACCGGATCTTTTCCAGCATTGCGAGCTAATGACTTAATTTCTTTCCAACAATCTGATAATGATTTAATTTTAGATGGAGGAAATGCCGAAATCGACAAGTCTGTACCAGCTACTAATATGTTTTCAAGTTTGGATGACTTCGATCCACTAAATACGGTCAATAACCCAACAAATTCATCCAGTAGCCAAGTTTACCCACAAACCAATTCTCTTACACCGACTTTAAGCAATACAACAGAATTTACCCCTTTAGTATCAGCCTACGGTAGTTCTTATTATCAGGCTGGAGACTATAAACAGAGGCAATCGGAAGAATATAACAACGCTAATATTTCACCAACAATCTATGCTAATGCTCCCAATCGATTTCAATTTCCATCTAGTGGTATTGGCAGTACCCAAAGTTTATCGTTACCTGAAGTCGCCAATAAGGAAGCAGAAGTTACCGAAAATCGAATTCGAAGTAAAAATTATAAAATACCATTATTAATATTGATTAAGAAAATATTCTACCAGGAGATTTCCTAAAAATATACCATAAATTTCGGTTGTGTATTATAGACAAAATGGCTAACCTAATTCAGAAATGCAGAAGTAGAATTGAAAGTCAAATTTGCTATTTACTAGGAATCTCGGGGATTATTGGACGAAGTACTCATGCATTAGATTAAATTTCTAATTTAATAAATTTATGAGAATCTTATCATTTCATTTTTCATAGGTAATTCGTCGTCAGCGGAACCTATTGAGCAACAGGTAAAGAGCGATCTTTACAGTAGAGTAACGGATGAAGAAACAACCAATAATTTAAATGTGCAAACCTTTCCTTTATTTGATTCTTATCAATGCCACTGCTTTAGCATTGAGATAACTAATTATCATTCTTCGTTTCATAGCAAGTGATGTTTAATTTATACGAATAATTAATTACTTTCCTACAATTTGCCTGAATTAATCATCAGACGCTGCTCACCATGTTCGCATCATATTTCAACCACATTAGATCTCGACCAGCATTAGATAATGCACTATACTTATACTTTTACAGCAATGGAATATGCTAATTAATAGATGTCCTAATTCAAACATGAGTGATCTATTTCGTAAAAATCACCTACCTACTCAAATCATATGATTTAAGATCTAGGGAATTGAATTCTTAGTAATGGTTCTTTATATAATGTCTACTAACAATGATGAATCTGCGATGATTAACATTGCTGTGATACTCTGTTTTTAAATTTGATTTCTTGCCATGTAACAGGAAAATGATTTGGGAAAGAACTTGGACACGTACATACAGAAGCTGAAGGGTATAGAATTTCATGATCTATGCTAATATACTTTTAAAAGGACATATATAAACTAGCATAAATAACATCTATTTTGGTTAAAAATAAGATTGCCTAGTCAAAGAATTAGCAGAGAAGAAATCGTTAAAGCAGGAACTCCTTGAAACAAAAGTAAATTTGAGTTATAAGCATGAATGAATACCATACGCAATTTAAAATAGTCTGATGACTGTCAAGAAATTTAGATCATTGATAAATTAATTCAATCATATATCTTTGAATCGATCATATCAATAGGACTCAATTACATCTGAAATAGCCGTACTTCAGCGACTTCTAAAAGAGGTAGATTTGTCGAAGAGTAGATAGAAAACGTTTTTAGTCATCTCATATGGGGCTGATTTGTTTGATCTTATCGTCAATTAATAGAAAGATGATGAACTTTCGAGCAAGCAAGTTCGGTAGGTCTTGACTTCCACATCACGAGCATTGATATTATAAATTGATTGCATTCATGCTGTGAGATAGCAATTCATCGCCATTTATGTACTATACCGTCTTGCAACTGGAAATAATATTAGTCGTGCTCAATTCTGTTGTTCTATGCAATCCATATTTTCTAGATTACAACGTGATTTTAGGGCTAATTTAAGCCAAAATTAGTACCTTTTAAAGCTGATAATTTCACACATTTTATATATTCAATCATTTCAATATTAATTTCCAATAGGTTAGATCAAATAGATCTATCGATGAAAGAAAAAGTTGAAGAATTTCAGTAAGTGGTATTAATTTTTTGCAATTATGTTAAGTTCTAGAAAAGAATAAATACGAGGATTTATTTACTCACTTTAATAATTTCTGTTAATTTAATTATTAGAAATTTAATAGTTCAGAAGGATCAAGAAATACAGGTACATAACTTAATAAAAAATGCTATCTTAAAATATGATAAATTTTTCTATCCTTATTTCAGAAAATGGTAGAAGCATTTCAGCGGGTGAATTTAGAATTACAGGAAGACGATAATGAATCGGTAATTTTAAGACTGATTAGAAATAAAAATCAAATTAATTCATATTAAAGTCTTTAAAATATTCAGATTATTGATTTTTTTGTGACAACTTCTAGCTAGTATAAAATAAATTGTTTGTATTTAAAATTATGTCTTACTTACATTAAGGTCAAGTCAGATGATAAAGCACTACCGGTGCAAAATGTAAGGCACTTATTTATTTTCTATCATCGTGTTGGTTATGAATTTAATTTATTTATAGAGCCGATTACTTCAATAGTACTGTTTCCTTTTGCTCCCATCAAATCTTATGCTTAATTACAGCTTTAAAGCATAGGCTGCTTATATTTCTATTGGAATTTAGTCCAACTTACAAACGTATTTAGTGCATACAAGTGAAATTTTTGGGATAGAATAGCATTTCTCATTAAAACTTCAATTGTTTACTAAATTTGAACCGTTGGATAATTAATTGTAATTGTAATTTACCACCCATAATGCTTATATACTCGCATTAGATAGAGGTAGTATGGCTTTTATTTCCATATAATTGATTACTATTACTATTAGTAAATCTAGCCGTATATAAATTTAACCTTATGAAACAACATCATAAGCAAAATTTTTATTAAAATATCGTCGATCTAACGCAATTTAGACGGTACAAGCTGATGAAGGAACTAAATTTAGGGTGAGTACAATCTTTTCTGAAATGTAACAGAATTGAATTAATTTGAATGATATTATGATTCAGTTCCTTATATCAGAAATGCATATATGAATTATATTCTGAATTTCTTATATCACGCAGGAAGTTAAACAAGAACTAAGTAGATACAAGAAGAAATTTAAAGAATTAGAAATAGAGCTAAAGGTTAGCAGCCTATGTATCATGACATGAAACACGAGTATTATTTCCATGGAGCACGAATTTAGCTAGATTATTCCTTTTACTAAACAGCAAGCAAAGTATGTTAATGATAACTTGATGGAAAACATCCATAGTATGGAACAGGAAGTCATAAAATTGAAAAATTCTCTAGACAAAGCAAATGAGGTAAGCCAATACATTAGTAATTCAGTTCTAAAGAATTTTATCTTAATGTGAAAGCTGCGGTGTCAGTAGTACAAATGCTGAATTATCGTAATCTAATAAAATCCCACGTTAAATCCAGTGGTATATTCATATTTACACTGAAATATTCTTGGTTTGTTTATTTAATTTAGATTTTTATTATGCTTAACAGCTTATTGTTTCAAATATCTTGTATTAGGTTGCACAAAGACGTAAATCCATTTTAGATAATATGACTGTGGAACATCAACGCGATTCTAATCAGTACAAAGAAGAAATTGAATCTCTTCAAGACGAATTGCAGGTAAAACATCAGTAGTCAATATTTTTTATGCTTATTTTGCTTCGGATGACTGCAGCTATTTCTAAAAAGTGGATAACAATATAATTTATATGTAGTAATTTTAGACGAGCTTCAATATGGTGATTAAAGTAGTAATTCAAGTATCTATATTGTAGGATATAACTATGGGAGTTTAAATTTTTAGGGGCTATAGTTAATGAGTATTCTTTTAATTACTGCAGTACTCATTATATTACCTTGACTATATCTAGTAGTTATAGTAAATTATTTACTGCTCTCTGCATTATGTAGACCATAACTAATAAGTATGCGAAGATTGAACCTCACACAATGGCTTAATAGTATACGGAATTGTGGCTATGTAATGATAACGAGTAGAACTTTGATATAACTAAAAATGTATTTAAAATATTACACAGTAAACGAGAATTATATTGCAGTTATAATATTAATATCTCTCTTTAATCTCATTATCCGTTTAAAATTTATAGGAAATTAGGCAAGTACTGCATTCTAAATCAGACATTGAACAGGTATAAAAAGCTTCCGTAAATGTATATAGCAAACTTTAGCTTCTGCTAGTTAAAAGTATCACGCTGATGTAATCCATTTATTCTAAATAGGACTTTAGTAAGGAATTGGGCCAAAAATCGGCACTAATTGGTAAATTGCAAGACAAGATTAAAATTATGGACAACGATAAACGGCAAACTGATCAAATGATTATTAATATTAGGGTTAGATTGCATACTTGATATACTACCAGTATCTTATAAAATGAAAGTTAAAGTATAAAGTTTAGGGTATTTTGTGAAATGTATGCTGATTATTTAATCGTATAGAATGATCATGAAAAGAATGAAACTTCTTTAATATCTGAGTTAGAGGTAAGATAGAAATATTTTAAAATTAATTAATAATAAGGCAAATTGATCTTTCAATGCAGTTATATGGCCTATTACAGATAATATCTTTGATCTTTATAGGAGGTAAAAGATGACCTTGTTAGAGTAAAAGATTCTTATGAGCTACAATGGAACGAAAAAGAAAAGGAAAATGAAACATTAGTTGAAAACTTACAAAAAGTTGTCGGTTTCAAAGATCAGGAAATTGAACAAATGAAACGGGTATAAGGACATTATAAAATTAAATCCTACGATGATAAAAATCGTTCCAGTCTGAAATATTTGTCACTTGATTACTTTAAAAGTCAGGTGCTCAATTTGAGTTTTTACTTATCCTCAGGTTTTATTATTACTATCATGAACTAATGAGATCGATTGATCAAGTATAATTTATAAGTAATAATTTCATTCTTTATCTATCCATGGCTATTATTAGATGATTGAGGATTTGATAGCTGACAGGAGAACCGTAGAAAAGAAATCCCATGATAAGGTACCATATTTGTAATGGTTGTTTCGCTTAAGATATTATAAATTTATCGAAAGTTGCAAGAATGATTTTCATTAAACATTACGATATTTAAGATGAAGGACATTAGACGCCTACTAAAATCAGAGAGAAAAAGATCAGATCAACTAACAGAGGTCTTAAATTACCAACAAAATACTGAAAGTACAGGTACGGTAACTTCTTCCTTCGGGTATCTTGCTGATCTTTAACCGCTGATTCCGTTCACAATAGATCTACTAATATCAGTATCATATGCTTGTTAATACCTTTTAGGCAGTATAAGAACATCAAATATATCACTTAATAGAGTAGGAAGGTTTGTTGCATGCAATGTTGACTATTTCAGCGATTAAAAAGAAGCTACGTACATTATAAGATGATTTTAATTTTAAAATAGCCAACCCAGTCTGCCAACAGAAAATAATCCGATACCGGTAAGATCTTCTAAAACAATTTCTTCCATTATATAAAGAAAGAAATTGGATATAGAAATTTTTAATTTCGTTATGCCTGAGTTGTCTATATGGCTAGAATTTAAAAAAATTTAATGCCTCATAACATTAATGGCAAATGCACTGTAGGTGTTGCTATAAAACATACAGGTAGTACACCAGCCTGGAAACTAGATCACTAGAACTGGTTCTATAGAGTTAATGAACTATTCCGATATGTTTGACATTTCTACTATATTTCAGCAACAGATATTTGATATCGTGAATGAATAGCGCATGTTTAGTAATGATTTCATTAATAGCTGCTGTTGCAAAAAGAATAAGCTAAGGATTAATTTTTTGATTAGTCTAATGACATGGATGCTGCGAAAATGCTAACTAGAAACGAAACTAAAGAGCTGTTAGAACGCGTTTCTAAATTACAGCAAACGAAACGGACATTAGAGTCGCGTGTTCAAATATTAGAGGAATCAGGCGCGAGCTTAGCTGAAGAATTAACTCGGAAAACAAAGATATTTGAAGGTTTCGTTTTACAAAAGCGCAGTGCAAAGCCAGGTAAATTGATTGGGGTATCTATTTCGTGGATAAGCCTTAATATTGATTATATTTACGAGACAATTATTTCGCCTTGTCGAAATAGAACCACAAAGAAATATCCAAGCTATAGAATCAAGACTACTAGAGTTTGTAAAGTATAGAGAGAAAGGTGATGAAGGTCTACGAGAGATGAATGCAAAATTGCAAAGGGTTCTCGAGGAAACTATAATTAAGAATCTAAGTTTGCAAAAGGTATAAAATTAAAAAAAATATTCAATTGCTAAAGATTGCGGAAGACTTATCCAATTAATGTTGATAAAAATGAATAAGTGAGCAATAATATGAATTGTAGCTAATTGACAAACAGTGTACGTATATTTAATTGATAACATATTTACTTATTCAGAACATTGAAGAAGTAAGTACAGAACTCGTAAAAGAAAGAGCTCGGCGAACTCACTTTCAGACTTCATAGACAGTTCGTGCTGTCTTCTTGTAGGTGAATATCAAACGATTACTTATTCTCAAACAGACAAGCCATGGATCATAGTCTTTATGATTTGACATGATAGACCGTTAGGATGATCATTCTATACAGCTAACTACTTTTATATTTAATTCGATGTAAAGGGATATCAAGACTACTTTTAAATATATTATGATTTTTGTGAAACTTGGATATGTGTTAAGTGTTTTGCTTCTGCTAGCTCTGTTAAATACTTGAATAAAAAATGTGTATTCAAGTTGATAAATCATTACTACGATCGATCGTAATTTTTTATTGATCATGCTGCTAAAATCCAGTTAGAAATTCGATCCAATTTGAAAATAACGAATTAAGTTATGAGCTTCAGCATTATTTTTACATATTTATTTTATGTGCGGAAATAAATAATCGATTCTATTTAAATATCACCATTTTGTGATTGCTTGATATTTTTCTGTTTACATTAAGTATTACACGTGTCGTTAGGATGAAAATTTGAAAAATATTTAGCCATCTATACAGTAAGTCATTACATCATCAGTATCCAAGTCTATCATCAAGATATAATCTGTCAATAAGTTCTCTTCTTTTATCGATATTTGTTGTACGATGTTCTACACGTACAGTGATAATTACTATGAGCAGTACTTATAGTGGCATAAAATTATTTTATAACTACATTAGTAACGAAGGTGCGAGTCTGATGTAGGTCCACTGTAATAATGGAATAATTTGAAAAGATGAATGAGTACTGGCACTGTGTAATCTGTTTCTAAAGATTAATTTGTAATCCATTTTCATTCCACTTCTATATCTACAATAGGATATTACAGTACGGCAGTATGTTGAATGCTTTATCTTAATAATATTCACTGTCAGTATCATAGCTGGGATCTGTAAGAGTATTTAATAATTTTTATCAGTAAAGATGTAGTATACCCTAACTATAGCATTTCACTATAGGGCAGATTTGTAAGTATAAGAAAAAATGTATACGTACAGGCATAAGTTGTTTACATCCTTCTGTGTAAAATATAAATGTTGCAAGTTTTAGACGTAGTAAGGTAACCGAAACCAGTGATGGCGTACAAGCAGTAATCATATCCGCTTTTGGTTTACTCGTATAGTATATTATCATCAAAGCTATTAAATTTTCGCTGATTGTAATATAATTATACTGTCTGCCATGTCAATTAGGCAAAACTTGAGAGGTCTTGATGGCCGATTTGGCTATAATAATACAAGTAATCAATTTTTCGAGTTCAATTCTTTCATTTTCTTAATTTCCTACAAGAAGATGATGGAAGGAAGTGTTACAGGTCAACGTTCCTTTTAAATTGGTATGTTCATGGCATATTTAGTTTATGTAAAGTATTAAGATAATCCTCTGACACTATTAAAGAAATCTGCTGTATGTCTTTACCTTCTGCACCTCAGTAGGAAAGTCTTCGTTTCGTGCAATACAGCATTGACAGCAGAAACGCTTAACGTAAAATAGACTGCATTTCTAAAAAGTTTGCATCAATATGTAACGATAAAAGCTAGCATTTAGTAACGTGCAATCGCCAGCATTCAAAGTAATATACGTGCATTGAGATCGATTGAAGTAGAATAGTGCTTTTCAAGCATTGATCAAGACTAACCTGATCGACACAAACTGCAGCACCACATTCAGAGCAATGCGATCCCAGGATTAAATGACTACCATCTGCATCGAAGGGATCATGAATGACGTATGCATTTTCTAATAGACTGTAAGAGATGAGCAAAAGTCTGTTAGCATGTTGCACAGTAGAATTTTCGCATAGCTTATGACTGTAGTTATTGAACCAAAGCTGCCTAAGCTAGATCTGTTCTACTGACGCAATCGTTTTCTTGCCAAAAGGAGGCCGTTGTCCAAAGTATTCATAAGCAAGTTGTAGCTTGCAAACATTGCACCTAAAGTAGCGCATAACTGTACAAATTAAGACAGAATTAATAAGTTATTACCATGGAACTAGGAAGTTAATACACGTAGTCAAGTTGCTAATAGAGCCAACTCTTCAATTCCAGCGGTATCCAGTAAATGAAGAGTATGCTTACCGTGTTCTACTCGAATTTCTTAGAAATGAGTATTTTAATTATAGTCAAGTCGATAGGATGTTGAAGTATTCGCACTCTGATCAAAAGAAGAAGGGGAGTAAGGTCTAAAATCCTAACTGATGAGCTAAAAGTAGTGCATAACTTTGCAAATTGACACAGAGATTATGTTGTTACCATGGAATTAAGCACTGGGTAGGTTACACTTCCATTCCTAGATCGGTGTATGCTTACCGTGTACCATTGGAAATGAGTATTTCAATTATAGCCAAGTCAATAGGATGTTAAAGCATACATCTATTCGCTTCTATGCAATATATATGCACGCTATGATGAGAAGAAGAAGAATAGTAGAGTTTAAAATGCTAACTAATGAGCTAAAAGTTGGACAAGTCAGCGAAGTTTGCAATGGAAATACTGGAAAACATGAACTGGACATCTATACAGTATTACAATATGGAGCATGGAGTGATAGTATTACTGTATTTTTAACTACTGTATCAGACACCAAATGGTCGATCGAGGACTGTTTTGCGCCTATACTATATAATACAGTATGGAGGAAAACTTGGTTACCTGGAAGTTTGTTGGCTGTTTGAATATAAGAAAACCAACCGAAAGATGGATACAGCAGCTCCAACTGTGCTAATGCTAGTAGTGGCAAAATGGGCGATTTTCCACCTTTTTTTTTTTAGTGGTGACATTACTTTTGCGAGCAACCTATACTCTACCCTTAGGTATGGGTTCAATTGAGCAGACCATAGACTAGTCGAGTGTAGAATACAGCCCTGACACTGATAGTGTACCCCCAGATCACTGCAGTTAGTATGTAGTACAGTATTAAAAAATTGGCGTCGTAATATATCAGCTTAAGCGAAAGTAATGTCAGTGTAGCCCTACGAAAACAATCGTGACAATACGCATGGATCGCTATCAGTAGTCCAAAATACGGACTACAGTACGGACAGAAATAGACCAAGTCCATATAAACATCAACACAAGCTCGTTGCCTTGTCGATGCTTCTTGTTCTTGATGATCAACATCAGCAGCTGCTAACGGAAAGTGCCATCGGCATTTCAATTGATTGACAATTTTCAACGTGAAATCGTTGCAGTATTCAACTCTTACCATCTGGAATCCTAGCATACAAGGACTTTGTGCCATGTCATAGCAAGCTTGTGGCAATGGAAGAGATGCGAGTGCTGTCTTTGTAGTAGAAGGATGCAACGACGCTACCTGGTGTTGCAGTATCCCCATTTTAGTACAATATTATCGTTTAGCCATGGCATCTTATAATATTTTTGATTTATTACTGGATTCTGGGCTAATTATGGCTGGTCTATTTCAAGTAGTATGCTTGTTGGCTTTGGTATACGTGCAAAGGAAAGATAATACATCGGAAGAACCGGTACCGGAATTAACGATCGAGGATATAGACACCGAGGATAAAAAGAAGACATAACAGCCATAAGCTGTCGTACAAAGAAAACCAAAATTGCTTCTTCTGAAACGGAATCATAGCACTATGTTGTGTAAAACAGAGTAGTCTACCACATGGTAGAATGATCAATACGCATTTATTGAGATAAGATGACAAAAATAATCTCAAAATGCAAGTACTAATGCAATAATGAAAGATTATCAAGGAGTAAAACAGTAGTTGATGTTGACTTCAAGAGTGTTTCATGAATTAATTATCAAACAGTCATGTCATAATCTGCAGCAATATGGAAAGACATAGTCATTAGAAATTCTCTCTGATTTCGCTAGAACTATTCTTTCTGTGCCAGTTGTGTCAACCTACTTTGTATTGCACATTTTAAATAGGTTGATAATGTTCGTATCAATATCTGCATCCGTTTAGCAGATTTCAATATCGACGTTCCAGGTTCAACATCATACGTAAAGCAGTACAATTTGAGTAGGCTAAGAGAGAATCATTCCAAGTACAGCATCTTACTAACTATTTACTACTTAATTCGTAAATAAGTAAAGATTTTATTCAATTTTCGTATTTGATCTTGTAGACATTTGTAGCCATATTGTACTTACGGCGTCTAGAAGGTCTGTACACTGTACATTAAATGTTGCTACGATACCAGTACAATACTTACGAGTATATACCTGTCAACACGTCTTCCTCACATATCATTATAGCAATTTGTTTTTCCTAATTGATTAAATCATGTATGCATCGTACCGTATACGTAATTATTTTTCCGAGATTTATTATTACAATATTCTGCCGTTTTATACATATGATACATGCCATAATACTTGATCTCAGCTAAGGGTATCAGTAAATACAGTAATTGCTATAACTGCATAACGATAATGAATCTATTGCCTAAAGCACAGATACCTCTGATGGAAAATCTGTATCCGGTACTTCTTGATTTTATTATCCAGTAATTTAGTTATCAACTATTTTTGTTATAACTGTGTAAACGCACTGACTATAGCAACTACAGTAGCTATCTAGCATTCTCTTATCCTTGAAAATCAACCAATTTAGTATGATGCTTTGTGGTTAAAATGCATTCTCCATGCTAGCATCATGACCAAATCTATAGCTGGACATTCTTTATGGCTATAATGCTATGTTATATTCTACTACCATTTATCTATAAAATTTCTATGTCTACGCGTAGATACAAAATAACGATATCATCTTTTGATAGGATATTATGATAAATTATATTATTAATGCATTAAGCAAGATCATGCAATTATAAATATACATATATTAATCACGCTCACAAAAATATCCGACGACTTGCAAATAAAGTTTATTTGCTTTATTTAACTGATGAATGCAATACAACAATTTAGTTATTACACCAAGAACCAGTGATAATATAAAATGTAATAGTAGCTGCCTTAAGTAGCAATAAAAATTTGCAATTGCAACTCCTACTTTAGCTTTTAAAATCAGACATTGAATAGCACAGTATGAACACTTATACTGGCAAGTAAAATAGCCTACATAAAAGTGTTTTCTCTGAGATTATCTACCGAATACACCCTGAAATTAAAGTATTGGCATACAATAGTACACTATAACTGTAATGGGTTATCTTAGATACTAAACAGTCTATAAGTACATTCGAGATCACTTCTTTAGTCGTACTCGATTGTTACTGTCTTGGTCTTTAAATATTCATTAAGTGCTTCTTCACCTGTACAAATTAAAATCTATCTCAGTAAAAATCTATAGTAGGAATTAAATTCACAAACTATAGTTTATTCAGTACTACGCTTAGTTATCACGCCCTAGAAATATGAGTTCCGATTTTAATTAAAAACTGACCTAAATCTTTTCCAAATCCTGACTGCTTGAATCCGCCAAATGGAGAGGCAACATCGGTTTTGTTATATGTATTCACAAAAACTGTTCCAGCATCTAGTTTTTCGCTGCAAAGCAACGCCTAAAAGAAGGTTTACATCATTAATACAAGGATACTGCTATTAAGTGCTATGAATACAATATAGTTGTTACATTTAGAAGGTTAGATCGATTTGCTACATGTTGTAGTAATTGCTAAAAGCTGTAAAGACTAGCATAATTTAATTGGTAACCTTGTTGATATCTTTAGTGAAGACGCCAGAAGCCAAACCATATTCAGTCTTGTTAGCGCGCTTTAGCACACCGTCTACATCTCTATAAAAGAATTTAATTATACAGCTGTGTATTTGCAATCATGAATAAAAATTTTTATCAAATATTAACAGCTCAATTACCCATCTTTGAAGCTTGAAATGACAAGAACAGGGCCAAAAGATTCTTCTATCGCGGCATAGTTGTCATCGGCTACATTTGTAAGGACAGCTGGTTCCATGAAGAAACCTAAAAATTTTAATTACATAAAGAAATGTTAATGCATCAAGGAAAAGGACACAGAATAAAAGGACAAAAAATAATGAATTATCAAGCATCGAACCAGATCTATCAAGGCGTTTCCCTCCATAGACCAACGTGGCACCTTCTGCAACAGCTTGATCAACGTACTCTAACAGTTTTACCATATGCTTTCTATATAGACATAAAATGAATATTATAACTTATATTACAAATAATCGGAAAAGGTAATACAACTTTGTTATCAAGATAAGAATTTACTCGTGATTTTGAGGACCGTGTGCTGTTGATCGATCGAATGGATCACCAATTTTCAACTTTTTAACTTCCTCTACCTATGATCGTTTTTAAATTTCCAAATTAAAATCAACCTAATATAATAAGGGTATTGCTATTATTTTGTTTCAAAGAATTAAGATTTTGCTTTATTACCAAACGTGCAACATATTCGTCATGAATTGATTCTTCAACAAAAATGCGTCCGGCTGCAATACAGTTTTCTCCTTTGTTGAAAAGACTAGACAACATACCCTGTAAAGGTTGCTCCAGCAGTTAGAACACCTACAGTATTTATTGTGCCAAATGATACACATCAAGAGTGATGATACATCCTTACCTGTCGAACGGCTTTATCCATATCGCAATCCTGGAAAATTATGAGAGGAGATTTTCCTCCAAGTTCCAAAGATACCTTTTTCAAGTTACTTTCAGCAGCACTGTATAACACAATAGATATTGCAAGGTTAATAAGTTAGATAGGCTAGTGCGATAATTTTTGTCTTGACAATCAGTCAATCCTTTCTATTATTTATATCACATGTGCAATGATAAGTCATTGTTACTGACCTTTTCATGACGGTTCTTCCAATTGGTGTTGATCCTGTAAAGCCGACTTTACGAATATCGGGATGGTCACAAATTGCTTGACCGCAGACACGCCCTGATAGGATTTCGGAAATAGAAACGGTGAATTATCTCACATAAATACACTAAGTAGTAATACGTAAATGAGAGATAGAATATAATGGCACTCACCGCTACCAGGCAAAATGTTAATAACTCCCTTAGGGAATCCAGCTTTGACGGTTAGTTCAGCAAATTTAAGAGCTGAAAGAGGTGTAACCTATAGTATAAGGAAGTATTGGAGCAAAACACAGTTAGCCAATAAGTTCACTTGCACAACAGTTATTGAACTTCAGTAGAAATACCTCAGCAGGCTTTAACACGCAAGTATTACCGGCTGCTAGGCAAGACGACATTTTCCAAGCTAACATCATCAAGGGATAATTCCATGGAATTACAATTCCACAAACACTTAATTAATATAAAAATTCATATTATAAAGGCTTAGACGATGCAATCGTTATTTACGTAGAATAGAAAGAAATGAATTAGATTATAAAATATAATTACCCTAATGGTTCACGTCTGGTAAGGCAAAGGTTATGACTTGGCCTGGCATTGTTGATTGGAATAGTTTTTCCCTACGAATATATCCAAATTTGCATAAGAGGTACTAATCATTTTGTGGATATGCAGATAATAGTTGTAAAGTCTAAACTTACATGAATTTTATCACAATAACCGGCAAAATATCTGAATGTGTCAATTGACATGCCAATATGAGTCTTTAGAGCTAGGGTATATACTGCTCCAGAGTCCAAAGTTTCTATTGTAGCTAATTCTTCTAAATGTTCTTCCATCAGATCAGCCAATCTATATGAGTAATCAATTAAAAAGTAATCTCAAGTTCTAATATACCCAATTTTATATCTGCAAGAGGTACAAATCAATACCTGTACATCAGCTTGCCACGATCGCGAGCATTCATTTTACCCCAATCACCTTCAAAGGCTTCCTTTGCAGCTTGAACGGCGACATTTACGTCCTCTTCAGTAGCATATGAAACTTTGCATATTACCTGAAAGATTCATTAATTTATGTCAATATCAATGAAGAATTTATTTTGGTGATTAGTGGACAACTAAAGCTACAGTTATAATATACCGATTCATCCGTTGGATTTATTGTTTTAAAAAATTTGCCAGAGATAGAGTCAACAAACTGGTTGTTAATGAATAATTGATGTGGGATTTTAACATCCATATCATTGACATGTAGATCGACCTAATATGAGAAAGTTGTAAGTATATCTCGTTAAACTTTTAGAGGCTAGATATCGGGTATACTATGCATGAGCTCGTATACATACTCGTATACTCGTATAGAAAGAGATATTAAATCCTTATTCTTACAGATTCAAAATCGAATTCCAGTTCGTCACCACCACGGAATTTTTTGATAACCATAGTTCCAAAGTCTTTATACCTAGTGATAAGCCATGGCTAAGTTAATATTCTACGGTCTATCAAAAGTATCCCTCGTAATATTAAACTTACTGTGTGCTCATATAGACTTCTTCAGGAGTCAAAGCTACTCCACATTTTTGCTTTACTTCCTCGACAAGTCTGCATAATAGTAGGAGATATTAGAAAAGCTGAGAAAATATCGTACGGTGTAAATACTAGTTGCTTAAACAGTAATTTACCTGGCGACATCCATTGAACCGCCGCCGCCTTTGAAAAAGTCGGTTTCATCTTCAATATTATCATGTGCAAGGATACCTGCCCAAATAGTCTACAACAGAATTTATCAAAAGGTGAGTGTAACAATAAGTTATTAGGGGTAAGAATATACCGCACTAAAGCATATATTCGTAGGTAGTGTAAGTGACAAGAGGCAATGAAAGAACTTAAATTAGAACATTAATCGTACTCTGATATTAGCAATTATTCCTTTTTCTTCATCAGTCAATTCGAGAGACTCGTCGCTTTCTTCAACTTGACCGTAGTTGCTAGCGGCAATCATTTTACCATCTTCAAATTGTAGAGACTTGACTAAAACCTTTAATAATTCGGTCACATCATTAGATTGACTAAAGTATAATTAGAAGTATCCTACTGTAATAAATAACTTTAATATTGTAACTTAAAGTAATGAAATCATAGCGATATAACTGTATGATTCTTTAAATTTATACACACAACAACACAAGCAAATAGAATTTTAGCAGTAGTCCTTACTGGTTGATCATCGCTGCCATAGATTGTTAAACCTCTTGCGTGTACAATAGCTGGTTTACTTAATCCTTCAATTTTGATTTCTGTTCCTTCTGGTTTGTTACTGATCATCGGTATTGTTGAGCCGTAGAAAGTTACTTGCTAGATGTGGAAAGCGTTAGACCGCGAAAAATAATGATTCGATTAACTCATATATTATATACTAGATATGATTTCTCTTACGACAGGCCAAATCTGCTAATTCATACCTGGCCCTCAATCGTTCCCCAAGCACCCGGTAGCTACAGATAGAATAAGTATAATTAATACACGGCTATCCTTGAATAGTGCAAGCTGTTCCATCTCTGATAAATTGCTTACTAATACCGTGAAACCATTTTCCAGTACTAACCTTATCGTTTCCGCGAATGAAATTATGAAGTACTTGAGCAGGTTGATCCCAATTGATCTGATTGTTAAATTTACAATAAGAGCATATAAAGCATTATTAATATATCTTAAATTACTAGAGAGATTTTCTACTGCTTTATTCTTCATGGAAAGTAATCATTCACAAAAAGAGTTATTATTAACCTTTGCAACGCTTTTGTCTTTCCACATTTTGTCGTATGTTGCTCCTTCTTCTGACTGAGTTACTCTGGGTGCATCGCCAGTAGCTACCAAATCTACCGCAGTTGCCTTGAAGAAAAATACAGATTATTAATACATTATGGTTAACTTAACTCTATTTAAAAGAGAAGGAGCAATACAATAGAGGGTAGGATTTCATGGGATAAGTGCAGTATGATATTGTAGCTATTTAGCGCAAGTACAGTAGTTAGTTTTCAAAAAAATTCGTGAAAAAAGCGAAGTTAGTAATGCTATATTTGTAATTTGTTAAGCAAGGATAGCAGCAATGGGACATACCATTATAAGTATTCATAACTTACCATAGCATTAATACCTTGAGGATATAGGAAACGATTGTAAATGGTATCTACAGTGTCATTAGGGTACAATTCAGTTGACCGTTGTAGAAGAATTGGGCCTGTATCGAGGCCATCATCAGCCCAAAAGATTGTAAATCCAGCTTTCGGATCACCTTCCATGATTGTCCTATTGGAAAGAATTATAAATTGTGAAATTCTTTTTCGCAGTGAATAGCGGGTGGTACCATAATCACACTAATTTAACAATTTCGTTCGAGTTCAATTAAGTTATGGTAGGGTCATCGTGGTTATAGGTAGCCGAGTGACTGTATTGCTTTGCATTAAAGACTAAGTCTTGACTAGCATTTTATGCATGCAACAAGTAATAATTGTAATGACAGTCTATTTATTTGAGTTGTAATTGAGACCAAACTGCTACATGTTGCTGTGGAATAAATTACAGATATTACGTCACAGTTCATTAACTTACTATGCGAATGAAAGATCGTCAATTAGCAACAGAATATCTGCTGATGGAATATGAGAACATTGATTCGAATTGGGAGTTCGACGAAACACGTGAGGTAATGTGATAATTTAATTATCTAAAACTAAAATCATAGCAATCAACAAGCGCAAGCATATTTTAAGTTGCGGCAGTATCAGTTGAAAATCCTTACGTTATCTTTAAATCAGAAAGGTTGAGAATTGTCGTAGTTAAATATGATTGTGTAAAGTGTTTGTAGATGATGTAAAAATTGCACTGATAGAAAAGAGTACAACATTCAATTGCTAGTCAAATCGGATTGTATACAACAACATTGTTGAATTATAAAGGTTTCAATATATTGGACACTTTAAAGTTTAAAGTTAAATAAAAAAAATTAATGCTCCAATGTGGTGGAATTTTTATTCAGGTGGGGGTTTAGGCAGCATTGATAGATCAATTCAAATCATACGGGTAGATAGCAGTAGATAATTATATAAATAATAAAGAGATAAAAATGTAATTTAGCCGATGATTATTCCAGCTTGCAAAAACCCTACGCGTGAACAGTGTATTGGCTTAAGGTTAAGTAACGATGATTATTACAAGACAAATCATTCTGCCGATCGCTATGTCATGTAAAGCAATAACAAAATAACTTTATAGCGTTGTCTGATTAAGTTGTTTGGAATAGTGATGATGTAGCATGCGTTCTTTGCTTGGTGGCAACATATTAACGAACTACTGCAGGTTAAGACTACGCTTTTAGAGTTCAAGCACTATCCTGTGATAGGGTATTGGCTTAACGATGATGATTAAAAGACTAATCATCCTGCTGATGGCTATGTTATGTAAAGCGATAAAAAATATGACTTGAGCGTTGTACGATTAACCTGTATGGAATACTGATGATGCAGTATGCATTCTTTGATTGGTGGCAACATTTTAACTACCGTCGATGAAGACTAGCCCTATAGGGTTGGCGCACCATCTCCCGTGCCTACAATACTCGTACCAGGCTCTAGCCCGGTAGTGGAAATGTATTCTCTACGCATCCCTTTTATACTGTAGACACAAAGTGGTTGCCACATCTGTTTTAAGCAAACACTTTTACGTGTAGAATTAACACCTCAAAAATAAAAATAGCTAGGGATGGAAATAGTGTGGTCGAGTATCTGTTATTCTTTGATAAAAAACAATGACTATGATTATCCATGTGTTCTATTTGCAGTCAAGTGATCATTCATCAAGGCGAATAAATTGTTAATAAGAGAAAATGAAAAGAGGATTATGTCATTGCTATGATCAATTTACCAATTGATAGCTGATGCACCGCGATGTCTTGGCAAAATGGAGGGATGATAAACTATCGAGCCATGCTTGGGATGATTGATGACATCCATGGGGATAAATTGGCTACAAAAGGGCATAACATTTAAATCGGCTCCAACTTCTTTATATTCATTCAAGACTTCAGGTATTGCTTGGCCCTTTTTTCGCCATCGTGGATATTTAAATACACGAACACCATCTTGTTGGGCTTGAGCAGCTAATGGATCGGGTTTTCCAGCAATATCTGGCACAGTAAATACACCAACTACTTCATGGCCATTCTGCCTCAAAACCTTGTACACTTCCATACCGAACAAACTTTGACCGATAATGGCTAATTTCAAGCGAGAGTTGGCCACAGTGCTGGTACCAAACCGTCTCACAAGTTGATTGGCAGACAGCATCTTGTAATACTATCACCATCAAGAAATACAGTTAAATATTCCTTTCCTATGGTTATGCATGAATAAGTAGATTAAAATCGATTGGACTTACTTCAATTGAAATTTTGCAGGAGTTTTTCCCTAAATGAAAGTAAGAACACCACACGATGAAGGATTCAACGCATGAGAAGGGAAGAATGCCAGGGTAGGTCGGGGCCTAGTACCCGTGGGACATGGGCGTAGGCTACAGTACTATGTATTGTACGCTGTGCCCAGCATACTGTGTGCCAGGTCGGTTAGGCGATAGTGTGCAAAAGAAGGGTGTCACCTAGAGGGCTTTTTCTTGCCTCAACAGTGGATACGAAGATAGAGTGAAAAACAAGGATGGAGATGTGTGAGCATGACGACTCATTTTGCACAATACAGTACCCGTGGGACATGGGAGTAGAGTCAGCTACAGTACTATGTATTGTACGCTGGCCCAACATACTGTGTGCCCAGGTTGGTTAGGCGATAGTGTGCAAAGAAGATGTCACCTAGTGGGCTTTTACTTGTCTCAACGGTGGATAAGAAGATACAGTGAAAAACAAGGATGGCGATGTGTGAGTATGACGACTCATTTTACACAATATTGTACTTCCTACGCTGCTTGTTGATGCAATACTCATACGGCTTAGAGTGCAAACTGAAGCGGAGGCGTAGAGGCAAACAGGCTGGAGAAAAAAATATATTTGAAAGCTCCTTGCCAACGAAATTTTGTATATTTTACTATAAAGTGGTGGAAGACAGGCCTGAAGTGATGGTGATACACTGCCAAACTTGCGTTAAGAAGAACACACTGTTAGCGCAAGCGACAGGATGAACTGGTATTGAAGCTTACTAGAGTACAGTTAACTAACTGCCTTATACTGTAACTCAAGAGAACGAGATGAGAGGATACAACAAGCGAAGTCCAGCCATCTGCACTTTGCACTTTTCCTGAATGCACACCCAGTGCAACGGTAAACTTTGAACCATTTTCAAAACAGTTTCCTCGTAGAACTCGTTACCGCAGCATGTTCATTCCACCCACTGAAAATCGATCCAAAATACTTGTCTATTTTGGATCCGATTGTATAGTAAAAGTGACATATGAGTTGTATAGCCTTCATGATCAAGTTGCAATCATCCAGTCTTAATTTTATACAGTAGTGGGTGGAATTTTCATGCAATCGCTGAACTAGCTCCATCGATGCTAAACCGGTGTCTGATGACCAGTAATACAAGTTTCGGGACAACTCCATCGCGCAAGCGTAATGAGCTGTTGCTAGTCTACCCGCTTGAAACAATACGGACCTTATGGACGCTTATATTAACAACAACTATAAGCCATCAGAAAACCTTTATAATAGGGACTTTCACGTAAATTAAAAAAAAAAACACAACATGGAGAATAGCTGTCACAGCTCTGACAGCATATTCATCTTATCATTGATCCATTTTGGCCCTGTAGATAGGAATAATCGTCGAAGGCAGTAGTTTGCATCAAAGCGCAAAAATTGTGCAAGAGGTAGACTTTCTTCCATCGAAATGAATCGAATGAAGCGATTGTATGGGACTCGATCATACAGGTCAAAGGAATAAATTACAGTGCAGTATACAGCAAAGGCTTTTTACTTTCGATGTACTCGATAGTTGTCCTCCTATGAGAGGTATTCAATCTCGATGATTGTCATCAACTCCTAATGGTGATGGCAGCCATGCGTGTATTGCATACCGTATGCTACAGTGCTACGCAATGTGTAGCGTGATGGCAGTATACTGTAGTGTTACAGTATGCTACACAATGTATACTGTACAGTGTACAGTATAGTATCGTATGGGGTCGACGTCAAGCGAGGACACCGACCCAAATCGTGTCCAAAATACCACCAAATCCGAATCAACGGCTAAACTCTATCCCTAAGCTAGGCCAAATCATGGTAGTACTGTAGTCTAAATTGATATTTCTTCCAATTTCGACTTTGAAAGAACAATAACTGCCTGTACAGAAATGACTCAAGTTGTATCCTCATAACCTACCTACGTTAGGTTGGCAACCATGGAGCTTAGCTCAGGCAAGAGTGCGCAAGCGTAATATAACGGTCAGTAGCGTCACTCTTTAACTTTTGTTTTATTTACATTCAAGCATTCAATTACTATTGATAAAACAATAAGTGGAGGATTGTCGAGAAAGTTACACAACAAGCTTTTGGTCATTTAATTTGAAATGTTATAAAGTTCATCATCGATTGATAGTAGTCAACGACGATCGATTGGATGATTGTTGAGGCGTTGAAAAGGTTGATGAGGAGATTCTTGGAAATCGATCGAAAATGAAACGATTCTTATCTAGACCCAAGTCGAAAAAGAGCGATAAGGAACACTCGAAAGGATCGACCGCATCCTCACCAGGCGAAAGTGAAGATTTATCCACCGCATCGATCAAGGATTTGCCCAAATTACATAAAGCTGCCCACAATGGCGACTTAATCAAATTTAAGCAATTAGCTAAAAAAAGCGATGTCAACCAATTGGATAAAGAAAACAAGTAAGTCATCGATAAGGAGATCAATTCTACTCGATAGTGCAATCTAGCGAGCTATCAAGCAGCGAGATAACTTTGATATCTAGGGGATGAGGTAGAAGAAGAGAGGTTATTAAAACCTCATCATCATAGAACACTTCATTAACGTTGTCATAAGTGATCTTTTTTCGATGGATACCCATGTTATAGAGAATGGATTGAAGATAATCATTACTGTATTTTTGAGTAGTAAAACACCTCTCTATTGGATAGATTAATAAACTTTCACCACAATGAGAGCACTTGATGAGTGCAATCATAGGTGATTGCCTTTATACATATTCATGTTATGAAGGATTGATTAATGAGGATTATTTACGTATAATATTTGGATAATAATCATTGCTTTGAGTAGTAGAATATCTCTCTATTAGATAGACTAATTAACTTTCATCATAATAGTCGCACTTGATTTGTACAATCATAAGTGATCGTTTCTATGGATATCTATGTTCTGGAGAATGGATTGATATGCATTATTTTCATATCTGTGCATGGATAATCGTTACTTTGAGAGTACAGCACCACCTCTCCATTGGATAAACTAATAAACTCCCACCATAATGATAGCCTTAATAAGTGCAATCATAAGTGATTGTCGCTATAGATGTCCAGGTTATGGTAAATTGATTGATTGATACGAGTATATATGACTTTGTGTCTATGTGCATGGATAAACGTTACTTTGAATCGTAGAATACCTCTTCATTGGATAGATAGACTAATAAAGTTCCACCATAATAATAGAACTTGACAGGTGTAACTATAAGTGATTATTGCTATTTATCCTTATTATGAAGAATCGATTGATGGGGATTATTTTTATCTGTGTGTGTGTGTTTGTGTATATAATTGGTACTTTGAGCAGTAGAACACCTCTCCATTGGGCTTGTAACGGTGGCTACGGTGCTATAGTAGGCTGGGCTTTGCAAAATGGTGCCGATCCTAATATCATCGATAAGAATTTGCAAACGCCATTGCATATTGTAAGTACAACTTCTTGAATGATTTTATAACACATCTATCATGGTATAGTTGTATCCATTTCTAGCTAGTCTTCTACAGCTAGGTAGAATGGTAAAACAGGTTCATAAGCCATCATCAACTTAAATACTATCTTCCTCTAATTTTAGTTATGTTCATTTTATGACATTAACTTGTCGATACTTCAATGATGGCAATTACGTTAATTAATATTCGGATACGTGCGTTACTAGATTACACTTCCAGTGAATAGATTAAAGATTATCTGTTATCGTGTAATATTGATATTTCGAGTAGGACTAGTATTTCCAACGATAATTTTATTATTAAATCACAAATCAGTAACGTACACTCTGGAGAAAGAGTATTTTATATTAGCACACTTTTCTAGAGAAATGTACCGTATAGTCAATAATGTGTGTTCTCTTATCCAATTTATCCCTATCATTAGGCTGTTGCTGGCATGTTCAAGCAATGCGTTAATCATCTACTTGATGCAGATGCTGATCCAAATGTTAGAGACAAATTTGGTTCTACTCCAATTCATACAGCTGCTAAAAATAATGATACTATTATTGGTGGATCCTTAAGTGATGGAGGAGCTCGTCTAGATCTCAAAGACAGCGTAAATGATAGCCTAAACTTGTTCTTTATTATTTATCGACTTCCTTTAAGCTTGTTCTTATGCTCATAGTCATATCCTCTTCTAACATTGCTACAACTTCAAAAATTCCGAGCGAATGGCTAATGCACATAGTCTATTCCTCGTAGAAGTACATTATTGAAACCGTTTTCTTGTCAATCTTAGGATAATATGACACCGGCACATTTCGCTGCAGAACGAGGTCACAAAGACTTTATCGAATTTCTAGTGGAGAGAGAGGCTAATCTAGACAACGTTACTAATGCAGGGAGGTTAGATTATCTTATTTGCAGAAATTGATAACTTAATTGCCTTTGTGATAATCTCACATTGTAATTAGTACCTAAAACAGTTATTCCGTGATATTCTTTTGGTATTGAAATGTGCTGCGTAGATAATATAGCAAACTATTTATATTTGTATCTTCATTTAGCACACCCATCATGCTGGCTGCCAAGAATGGCCATGCAGATATTGTTAAAATTTTATTAGATAATAACGTATACACAGAGTTTAATGATACCGAAGGTAAAAGTGCATATGATTACGCAGTAGAAAACGGCCAAGAAAGGTTAGTGTTCATAAGACGAAAACTGCATTCTGTTATGGAAATTCGTGTATAGTGTTCCGGCCAAGTAATGCTTAATACATGTATTTAATCCTACGCATCTAGTTGTGCCGCTCTACTAAAGCCTCGGGAACAAGAGCCGCCAGCATATGACGAAACGCCACGTGGTGATGATCAAAATGAAGAAGCTGAGAGAAAAGAAAGCCCTGGCGCGGGTTTTTCAAGTAATTAAAAATGATAGCCTACTAATTTACTGCCTCAAAAACAACATAGACAACATAAATTTAAACCATATTCTATCTATTTCTTTATAGAAGACGAATCGATAAATTTTGATTCTTCTAGCCAGTAAGTATCCTTGACAATCACAATGTATCGATATGCTAAAAATATTCTATATTTAATATATACTACAAAGATGCTAGCCTACCTTGCGGCTATAAGTAAGAATCATTTTCGATGGAAGTATTCAAACTGACAGCAAAATTCTTTAACTTATTTAATATCTTCAGAATGTCCCTTGGTGATACATGGAATGACTCAGAAGATGATAGTCCGCGTGCGGTATGCTCTCTTATTAGAATAGTTTACAAGAATTTAATCCAATTCGGAAACGATAACTTAATATGACGATTTAAACGTAATTTAAAATTGTAGAGAAAACCTAATTTGGCATCATTACTTAAAGCAAGATCGGGTAACGAATTTTAACATAATAGATACATGATTAATCATGAATGATTGGCTAAACTTTTATTATACTTCGCAATTACCCTTGGTTGATTAGGCAATAGTGATGATGTTGATGCAGAATCGAGCAATAGGAATTCTTCTCCTGAGGCTGTAAGTTTATAGTAAAAATGGAAAATAGCCATTTGTAATGTAGCTAGTCTTTACTTACAGTTTATCCAAATCACTCACAAAGATTTTATCTATTTCTCTGCATACTATATATTGTAAGATAAATAGAATTTCTTAATATTATTATATCAATATCTGACATTAATAATCATAATCTTGCTATTTTTTTATCCAGACTACATATACGAGTATATGTATGGGTGTATATAGTATTAATATCTTGTAAAATCTGCCAGTTACTGTATGTATCCTTTTCAATTATGCTCTAACTAACAATATTGTTATCCTGGTAGGATACTTCCAAAAGGCGATCTTCATCAGGTGTAAAGAGTAGAACTTCAAAACGTAGTGAATCTGATTTAGATTCATCCCCAGAAGTTAAAAAACCTCCAGAACTCCCCAAAAGGCCCATAAGACCCGATTTAGAGACAAAATCGAAGCCATTACCTCAACCAGTTGAAGAGCCAAAGGTTTTTTGTTTAGCTGTTTAATTACTTAGCTACTTCCTAAAATTGATACTACTAAGGAAAATTTCACTGATTAATATTTCTCTTATCGCTGAATGCAACTAGGCGAAAAACACCACCGATAAAGATAATCTCTCAGATATTAATTTCGATGATGGTTAGAAAATAAACAGCAACTTAAATGATTCACTTGACTATTTCACAAATTGTATTTGGCTATAAAATTTTTCAATTTTTTACGGTATTTTTTCATTATAGATGACGATGATAGCGATGATGGGGGTGGGTATATACCTAGTGCAAGCAGCCACAAAAAAGCGGGTATCATGAGTGGGGATGACGATGACGTATTAGATGCTCTTGAAAAATGGGATAAAGGAAATAGTGGCAAAAAGGCAAAAAGCTCTTCGTCATTTGGCCAATCTAAGGCGACACTGTCAGATGATGATGACGAAAGCTTGATTGGCAGCGATTTATCCATTCCAGATATAGAGGAAAATACATCCGATAAAAAGGAGAAATTACCGTTAACTGTTGTTAAAAGTGATTCAACAGATGGCAGTTCAAGTGCTAAAGGACATGAAAAATTGTCTGTATCCTATTCGAATGAAATTAAGAGGGGAGATACTGGTGGAATGTCTAAATCATCGTCTACTTTATCGGATAAGAAGGATGAACTGAAAGATAGTGCGACGAGGCCCCAAAAAGGTCTCGTACTATTAATAAATTATGAGTTTTGTACCAGTAAAATATAGAGTTCAGATATTCTTCAATATCTGAGATTAATTGAAGGAAATTTAATCTTTCTCAAATTTTTTATGCTATCAATTTTTCCCATATCTAGATGAGGATTCCGATTGGGATACAAGCGTGAGTTGCTCAAACATTTGAAGTGTCCTATGACGCTAATTTTATCAACATGTAACATAAAAATATTTGTTATATCTTGACTTCAAATAATTATTCATCTTTTTTACACAAAATAGTCTTCGTGGAGTCCTTCGAATGAAAGTCCTCGAGGCAAATCACGTAAGAGTACTGATTTTGTAAACTTAGGATTTGGTAGTCATTCTAGTAATGGAAAGAGATGAAATTTTGAGGAGCCTCAATTTAATAGAGTGTTTTATATGTTCATTACGCATGGTGTCAACAGAAGCCTATACGAGTATTTAATATAAAGGATAATTTATCTAGTGAGATTAATTATCAGTTTCTTCTATGTTGATGGCAAATATACTGCTATGTTAACGTATGTCAATATCGATATTAGTTTTATAAGAGCTATACTGAAACAGATTATAAATTATATTAATACTATTCACGTATGCCAATGGTCAGTGATTCATTACACTTTATTTATACATGTATACCTAACGTATGCACAGTATAGAAAAAAAGTCCTATTCTTGATTAATAAGCCTACTAATAATTAGATTAACAAAAATAGATTGTATTGTTGTTCTTTGCAAATAATCAGAAATTCCTAAGTAGATCAATTTATTTAAACCTAATTTACATTAAATAGAAAAGATCTTTTTTATATTATATGAGACAATCATTCCTTTTTTTAATTTGAGAGTACTTATACCGGTAATATATAATTTAAAATTCGATCGATGGTCGTACTAAGTCTGTGCCTTACTCATAAATAGCTTCTTTACCTTGGGAAAGAAAATTGGATAGCGATAATGAGCCTGATATAGCTGATAGTAATATAGGAAAGGATAAATTAAAAAGTTTTGCAGCAGTTCCCAATCAAGAAGATGCTGGTGATAAGAGTAAAAAACCCTTAAAAAAAGTTACCATTGCTCCTACACCAGAAACTAGTAAGGATGATAATGATATAAAAAAGGCTAATGAATCCCCTACTTCCAAAAATAAAGTCAATAAAGAGTCTAGTGCTAATAAAGATTCCCCTAATAAACATGGTAAAGTACCGCCGCAAATCCCACCACGAAAATCAGAGAGCAAAAAAGTGAAAGACTCAAAGGCAGATAGCTCAAATATCAATGAAGAGGAGGAAAAACCTGAATCAGCCGCTGATGATAAAAATCACAAAAGTCCAGTGTGGAAGCGAATGAGAGAAGTTTAAGTATTGATAAAGATA